GAAACATCAATGATGAGCGAGAATCATTGATTGGCTGCCTCCTGCACACCCCCTACTGGGGATCAAGCCCACAAGCCAGGCATGTACCCTTGACCAGAATCGAACCCGGGACCCTTCAGTCTGCAGGCCAGTGCTCTTCCACTGAGCCAAACCAGCGAGGGTTATTTCACATTTTTGAGCTGGGTTAAGTGTGGGACCTTCAAGGCACCTTCTTTCTGGGACTTTGTAGTGAACTCTCAGGGTGATCAATATTCAGGCCCAATCATCTCACCCCCTGACACACCTGCCAAGTAAGTTCTTTTCGGGAGCAGCATGCCAGTTGCTTTCCATTCTCACATCCCTGCCCGCTCTCTCCGAGGTTCTGATGACTGCTATGTTGGTGATGGCTACTCTTACCGGGGGAAAGTGAGTAAGACAATCAACCAGCACTCATGCCTTTACTGGAACTCCCACCTCCTCTTGCAAGAGAATTACAACATGTTTATGGAGGATGCTGAAGCCCACGGGATTGGGGAGCACAACTTCTGCAGGTAAAAACCACCTTCTTCCCTACGCTCAGTCTTGGTCGCTTGCCAGTGTAAGGGTTGGTTTGTCTCTTTCCGCTGCTCCAAGATTTCCTGGGCCAGCTTAGACATTTTGGGACAGAACACTGGAACTCATCATCCTTCTTTCTAGGAAGATTTTCAAACTCAGGACAGGCTAGGTTATGCTGCTGTAACAAACCCCAACCCCAGTGGCTTGAATACATCAAAGTTTATTTCTCACTAATGTGTCATGTGGGTTGGTAGGGGATGGGGGGATTCAGCTCCACAAAGTAACTCCATTACCCATAAAGGGCAAGAAAGGAAGAGAATGAAAAAATGGAGCAGGAGTTTTGCTTTGTTTTTACTACTTCAACCTAGAAATGACACATCGTCTCTGCACACATATGCCATTGACTAAAAAGTGTCATGAGGCCCCATATAACATTAAGGGAGAAATGTAGAGAAGGAAATTGGATGTCTGGTGAGTGTTACAGTCTTCACCACAATAATGTTCAGGTTTTCCCAAGTAAAGGTGACAACAAGTTCCCTTCTGCCCCTTCTGGTGCCTCCAGACCATTCTGCTGGTTTTCTCTTACTCTTCATTGTCTAATCAAGGCCAAGGGCATTCATGATCTGTATCTAAGAGACAGGAGTTGTTTGTATGGCTTTAAACTGGTTCCATTAAGCAAGAGGGACCTTCCACTTTCACTCACCTTTAAGCTGTTCCCTTCATGGAGCTGTCTTCAGGGTGACCCCCTCAGCAGCCTTTCTCAGAGAATTCCCATGCACGGAATTTGGAGGTTGGGGCCAAGGAGCCCTACTTTCACCATGTTTCTGTGGCTATTTCACTTTCCTGACAAAGAAGGATCATCAATGGGGATCTCACGTCTTTTCCTACAAATAATTGGATGTGTCCCATGGATCTGGTACAAGGCTCATGAACTACTTCCTGGTCATCGGATTCTCCTCTGGAAGTTAAGGTTTTGCCAAAAAAACTACAACCACCCTTATATGCCAGAATCCATCTATGATCCCAGGGACACACAGGAATGTGTTGCTCTTCTACCCAAAGGTCCTGTAATGAGGTCCCGTGGATTCACCAAGCCTTGACCCTGGGTTATCTTGGTTTTTGTTTTAGAAACCCAGATGGAGACAAAAAGCCCTGGTGTTTCATTAAAGCAAACAGTGCAAAGGTGAAATGGGAGTACTGTGATGTCCCAGCCTGCCCAGCCCTAGGTAAGACCCTGACCCCCCAGAGGCCCTGGTGGGGGGAGGATGCAGATCTGTAGACAGATGTTCCTGGCCCCCATCTCTCCCACCTTTGTCTTCCCACCGCATCTGCCTTACCGACCCTCATCCCAGTGGCGGCCCCACTGCCGCTCCTCTGCTCCCCTCTTGGGATGCTGAGCAGGTCTGGAGACCTTTGTAAATTTGGGCCAGTGGTGCAAATATAAATTCATGTTTCCTAACTCCAAGTCAGTGCACTCGGCAAATATTTGTTGATTGTTTGCTATGTTCCAGGAACTATGCCTGGCTCTGGGTGTACAATGGTGACCAAACATTGGCTGGGCCCCGATAGCCTTTCAGGATACAAAACAGTCTGGATTCCAGCCTCACAGTCTTCCAGGCTGCGCTGGCCCACCTCTCTACCCACCACTGGAACAATGCCCCCTCCATCCTGATCAATGGGATTGCCTGCCTGGACAGTTTCACTTCTGTGCTCTTATGATCACCTTTGACTGTAACACTGCATTCATATCTACTCTTGTCCATAACCCACCATTCTGTGAGACCCAACTCAATGAACCCTCCTCCAGGAAGTCCTTCATGATCTGCCAAATAGAGTACTATTTACACCTCCTCAGAAACCTCAGGGAAAGAAACCAGGCACCATCCTTACAGCACTTATCACTTTGTATGATGGTTACCTTTGCAAATGTCTTATTTCCCCCATTCTACTTCATCTGGATATCTTTCCCTATACACCGAAAGAGGCCCCCAAATATATGTGTGCACTAATGATAGCTAAGAACATACCCAGTGATGCACTTATATGTTAGCACTCACATCTTTGTTTGTGTGTACATGTCAAAATAAGAATGAAAAGCAACGTTTTTCATTGTCAACTTTATAGACTTGCTTTATATTAATCAATGTAGTCAACAAATATTGTGTACCTACTACCTACTCACCCTGTGTGCACCCATCTCTTAGCTCTGGACACTTGCCAAGTTGTTAGACTCGGAGTCATACCTCTAACAAGGTCCTTCTGAGGACCTGGAGGGAGGGTGAATGGTGTGATTTGTCTTTCTTGTGTCCCACAGACATTACCGACCCCGTAGAGCCCCTGACCAAGCTTCCAGGCTTTGACTCGTGTGGGAGGACTGAGATAACAGAGAGAAAAATCAAGAGGATCTACGGAGGCTTTAAGAGCACGGCGGGCAAGCACCCGTGGCAGGTGTCCCTGCAGACCTCGCTGCCACTGACCACCTTCATGCCCGAGGGCCACTTCTGTGGGGGGGCGCTGATCCACCCCTGCTGGGTGCTCACTGCTGCCCACTGCACTGAGTAGGTGCCTGCTGGGAGCAGAGGACAGGGGACCTGGCCCATGGGGATGTTCTCCCCTTCCCATTTGAGCAGCATCTGTTGCTCTCCAAGGGCAAAGAGGGTGGCAGAATGCGTACCTTTGAATTCCATGTGTTTATGGCATTTAATTCTCAGAACAATCCACCAGAAGACAGGCTGAGGGAGGACAGGGATTTTTACCTTTTATGAATTAAGGTGTCCCCACTGCCCAGAATAGGTCTTTGTATGAGCAAGTGCTCAGTAAACACTTGGGCAAAAAGAGAGTTAACTGTTACCCTCATTTCATAAACGAGGACCCAGAGTTTGGGAAGGTTTAGCACCTGGCCTTAAGTCACATGGTAAGGAAGTAGGTGAGTGGGATGTGAACCCAGACCTACCTGCTTCCTTCACCTCTTTAGTCCTCTCTGGACAGAAAGAAACAATAACATGCTCCCATCTGATGCCCTCACCAGTGAGCCTCCCAGGTCAAGTGTCTTCGGTCCTGTGTGCCTCAGAGAAGCCAGAACCCACTGGGAGCCTGAAGAATCACTACCTCCCCTGACTTCCCTAAGTTCGTGGCCAGGGCTGGTCCCATGGAAGCCAGGCTCTGGTGGTGGCCTTGAAAGTCTTCCTGTCCACCCTGTTCTTAGACAATTTCTTTAGGGAGTCTAGGAGTTATTCCTCAAGGGTCAAACATGCAAACATTGGCATCTACCAAGGATATTTATTCAAGATGTTCATTGGCTGCTCTTTAGCAAAACCCGTGGGGGAATGAGAGGTCTCCCAGGAGACATGGGATACAAGTTACAGCTTGTATTTAAAGACTGTCCCATCAATAAAACAGTTTCTTCATGTTGTCCCATTTGGACCACATGGCAGAATTCTGTGAACAAGACAATGATAACAGATGAGGATGCCAAGTCTGCAGGCGGTCGGGCCATTTACCAAAGGTCACACAGTTCACCAGGAGCAGAGCCAGGGCTTGGCTGCAGTCTCTCCAGTGCCAGGGCTCCTTCTTGACCGTCTTACTTTCCCTTGCAGCCTAAAAGCCAAAAATCTAAGAGTGGTACTAGGGGACCAGGACTTGAAGAAGACAGAATTCCATGAGCAGACCTTCAGGGTGGAGAAGATACTCAAGTACAGCCACTATCATGAACGAGATGACATTCCCTACAACGATATTGGCAAGTCTCTTCTAGCAGGGATCTCCCTCGGGTCTTGTTCTGGGTGGATTTCTCTACTGATGGAGAGCTGAGGGTTGGTTCTGTTTGGTCCCTCATAGACCTTATAAGGTAGAAAATTTATTCCACCACTTTCTAGTTCTTAAAGGTTACTGTTGTGGATAAACATGCACAAGCTCTTAAGGGGAAGGGATGTTGTGTTGTGTGAAAGAGCTCAGGCACTTGCTAGCCAGCTTCACCTCTCTTCGCCTCAGTTTGCTCTTCTATAACATGGGAAGCTGACTGCAACACTCAGCCTCCTGTGTGTTAAGTGTCATCATGTGCATGTGTCCCCGTGCACACCCCGTATCACACCTGCTAGGCAATGATATACTTAAGCTTCTTACTGCCCAGTTTTTCATTCATGATACTTCTCATTCTCTCTCCTTCCTCAGTATCGTTTTTTTACCCTTGGAAAGCCTGTGTTTTTTTTTTAATTGATTAGTCATTTAAAAAATGAAATTATGGGAAAAGTGGGGCTTTGCTACAAGCACCTTCCAATCAAGGTGGAGTGGATGCTTTGATACAGAGGATAACATCACCCATTTCTGCTTTCTCTCTCTACCTAGCTTTGCTCAAGCTAAAGCCAGTGGATGGTCACTGTGCTCTAGAATCCAAATATGTGAGGACTGTATGTTTGCCTGATGGTCCCTTTCCCTCTGGGACCGAGTGCCACATCTCTGGCTGGGGTGTTACAGAAACAGGTGAGTCTGGCCATGCAGTCTCCTGAGACTCAGGTGAGTTATTTTAACCAGAAAATAAAGGGTCAAACTCCACTGCCCTTCTGAACTTGAAACCAGTGTTATATTCAAAATGTACTATCAAAAGAAAGATTGCATCATCTCTCAAGGTTTAGTTAAGTCTCATCAGCTCCAAGGAGTGTCCCCTGATCTCACACTTGCCCCTGGCTCCGGCCCCCGGACCCTTGACTTTCATCAAGCATTGACCCTGTATCCATAAAGAACTGTTGCCTTCCCTAAGTAGACTAGAAATAGGATATATTGGAAAGAAGATGAATTGTGGAGTCAGATTCTTGGCTGTCACTTGGGCAGCTGAGTTTTAGTTTTCAAATAACTATATTTACCTCCTAGGTTTAGAATCATGATAACAGGAGATGGAATTCTACAGAGATACTGATTAAGTCAGCCCAGGAGGGTGGGGTCAGGTCTCATTCATCTTTGCGTCTCCCACAGTGTGCTGATCTTCGTAGGCGTTCTATAAAGTTTTGTTAAATCAAACTTTTGATTTGGCTCCAGGGTTTGGTCTTATCTAAGAAAGTAACCAAAGTGTTACTTTGCTCATAGTACTAACATGATGATATCTTCTAATATATGGGACTTTCTTTAATATTCAAGATGGAATTCTTCCCCATACATCATGTCCTTAATAATGAAAAGCAGGAATCACTCTAAGTAGGCCTGTATTCATAAAGTGGCGTGTAATATATGAAACGGTCAGAAGGACTGGGGGAAAGAAGATACCTGGTTCATTGGATTTAGGGTTAGCCCTGTTTGTAGCTATCGTCATTGTAGTCCATCTAACCCAGGGGTCCTCCAACTACAGCCCGCGGGCCACATGCGGCCCACCGAAAACATTTATCCGGCCCGCCGGGTGTTTTTGCCGCCGCTGCCTGTCCTGCTTAGCAGCCGACTCGTCCTGGGCCCGCAGTGCGCATGTGTGGAATGTCTGAGGGACAGTGAACTGGCCCCCTGTTTAAAAAGTTTGAGGACCTCTGATCTAACCCTTTCCCCGTCAGCATGCCGACTACAGCGTTCTGAGCAGAACAGAAGTTTAGGGGAGGAAATGCCTGCTCTGGGAAGCAGGTGATGTAGATGATCAACCAGGGAAATGGATCCCTCACTAAGCATTTTCTACATGCCAATCCTCTGCTAGTCATGGGAAATTAAAAAGTGGTTGAGACACCCTCCCTGTCTTCCTGACTTCATGATCTAGCTGGGCGGACAGAGGAGGGAATAAATGATTCTGCTCCGTTGTGATAAGCAGAGTATTGAAGGTCCAGATAGCCCTGGTGACAGCTGCAGGCAGAGCCCATCTCCTGGAGAGACCCTTCCTTCCCAAGCTCAGAGCTGGTGGCCCTCTTCTTACTCCTGCCACCCTGGTCCCCTCATTGGCCACCTCTTCTTTCTGCCCCACAGGGGAAGGGTCCCGACATCTCCTGGATGCCAAAGTCAAGCTGATCGCCAACACTCTGTGCAACTCCCGCCGACTCTACAACCACACGATCGACGAGACCATGATCTGTGCGGGAAATCTGCAGAGGCCTGGGCAAGACACCTGCCAGGTCAGAGACTCCAAATGGGCTTGGAGAGCAAGAGGCTGGCAGGACCTTACACGGGGGCACAGACCCTCTTAGAGCCCTGGGCTGGGAGACAGGCTCAGGGACCCAACTGCCATAAAGCACAGGCCTAGGCTGGCGTATCTGAACCCATATCAATCCAGGAAGACACAGCACAATAACCATGGTGGTCACGTTGCCTGCATTGCTGCATTTCATCCTTGTGACACTCTGGTCAAGGGGGATGTCACTAGTGTTATTTGACAGAGTTTAGGAATTTCTCACCTGAAAGCTGGAAGTCTGAGATCAGGGCGCCGGCGTGGTTGGGTTCCAGGGAGAACCCTCTCCCGGGTTGCAGACTGCCAACTCCTCATTGTGTCCTCACATGGTGGAGAGAGTGATAGCTCTCTAGGTCCCTTTAACTAGGGCAAGAATCCCATGCATGAGAGCCCCACCCTCATCACCTAATCCCCCCCCAAAGGCCCCACCTCCCAATACCATCACTTGGGAGGTTAGGTTCCAACATATGAATTCAGTCCCTTGCACCAAAATAATTCTAGAAGCTCAGGTGCCTCATCTATAAGATGGAAATGTTATCCCCATAAGATCTGAGGCAGATGAAAAGAGATTAAAATTGAAAATCCTGTCTACACAGTTGGAGAGTGTAAGCAGTGCTATGTGGTTGAGAGCCATCCTCCTCCTCGCCGCTTTCCTTGGGGGTGTGGGGTTTGATATAAACCAGGCATTGTTCTATGTGCTTTACAAACATTAATCTTCACAAAAATCCTGGGGGTGGGGGGAGTGTTCTGTTGCTAACACCGTTCACAATGTGAGACATGGAGGCCCAGCTGGCTAGCAGGAGGTAGGGCCTGATTTGGAACCCGGAAGATCTAACCCCATAAACCATGCTGGACGTCTGAGCCATGCGCCTCTGAGCCCCGCCCTCCTACCCTGTGTGTGCCCCGTGGGTCCTGGAAGGGCTCTATCATAACAGGGCACCCCAACCCCACACCAGGCCCTGCTGGAATGAGGAGTCGAGGGCCCCTGAGAACTCACGATAGTAATACCTGTACTACTGAGAGCCATGATGCCATCTGGATATGAGGCTGTGACCACAGCACTGTGGCCTGGCCCTATGCCTCTCTGCCAGGCCCTCCCTGACCCAGGGACAGGGGCTGGTATTTGCTTCAGAGCCTTGGGTCTCATGAGGCCCAGGAAGAGTCTTGTCACTGCTTTCCCGAGGGCCCACGCCATCCCCCGCTGCCATCCCCTCATGGGAGGTGGGGTGTCTCCCTAATGCATTCTGTTCACAGAGCTGAACTCACATCTTTCCCCCCAGGGTGACTCTGGAGGCCCTCTGACCTGTGAGAAGGACGGGACCTACTATGTCTACGGGATAGTGAGCTGGGGCGAGGAATGTGGGAAGAAGCCAGGGGTCTACACCCAAGTTACCAAGTTCCTGAATTGGATCAAAGCCACCATCCAAAGGGAGACTGGCTTCTAAGGTGCCTTCCGAACCTCAGAGCCCCTTCTCCTGAGCACCCAGACCAGGCAAGGCCTCGTGGGCAGCAATGGACACCCCTGGGAGCCTCCAGGATGCACACGGCGAAGTGTCCGTGCTCTAAGCAGAGACAACAGCTCCCCGGCCTGGGGCGTCCCGGACCAACATCTCCACCATCATCAGGCTCCCTCCTGAGTCAGTCGGGAAATGACAGAACCGGCCCTAAATATATTGTGCTTGCTTCCCTTCACACCATGGCACCTTCTAGAAAATCATGGTTCACTGACTGCCTCCACCTCGGGACATTTGCAAATGTGGGATCTCTCAACGTTCCACATCGGTGGGTGTCCCCTTGGCACCTGTAGGCCTCATCGGAGACACTCAAGGCCCCCAACAGAACGAGCCGTCCACTTCTAGGTAGCAGCTAGAGGACCACAAAATACCGCATTCTCCATCTGCTTTCACAGACTTGTTACTTTAATAAAGGCGACCAGGGCATGGCTGGTGTGCCGTTGCACGGCTTGCCCCAGCTGAAGCCACTAGGCCTGTCGCTGGCGTGCAAGCCTCCTCTCCAGCGTCTCTCCCAAGAATCCTGGGTGGACCCACTTGCTCACAAGGGCAGCACCTTCCTCCTCTTGACGTGCAGAATCTCAGTGGCATCTGGGTTCACATCCGCCCTCAGATGATCTCCGGGCTCCACAGCCTCTGCCCCCCACTGCAGAAACCAAACACATCTCCCTGAGTCCCAACAAAGTTTCCAGCCGGCTCCCTTAGGATGAGCTGTCTAAGAGGCCCCGGGAGCATTTAACACGTCCGCCCGCCCTTACTTTTCCCCTCCACCACCCTCTCTCCAGAGAAAGGATCCTCAAGGCAAGAACCAGGAGGAAGCAAAGCCAATCTCTCATTTACATGCGCTGTCTTTCTTCTGAACAAAGGAGGGTTCAAAACCCAGACTGGTGTAGCCAGCAAGTCCCTGACCCTTTGTGGGAACGTAATGAGCAAGCAGGCAGCCCAGCCGGGGCCGCCGGGGCCCAGGACTGATGCGGCCCCAGCAGGTTCGTCTCCGCAGAACTAATGGCTGCGGCTTCAGAGAAAACCCTGCAGGAAGTTTAACCCAGGTGTCATCTGCCTGGTCACCTCAGACCCATGGAATTAGGCACCTTGCTTGAGCTGCATCTCACACTCTTTAGAGCCAGCTGACTTTTGGCCAAAAATAAAGTCTGAAAAAGGAAAGGTGAGCTTGCCCTTGCCCGTGGCCTTGCAAGCCGGGTTTGCCCCTTGCTACTTACATAAGCCCCCTGGAGAGCCAGGCCCCTTGCATTGGCCAGTTCTGCAGCCCGCCGAGCCATCTCCACTTTGTAGGAGCCAGGAGGGGTCCAGCCAATACCTCTGGTCAGGTTCAAGTCTGATTTGTACTTGACCTTGGGGGGGAAAGGGAAGTAAGAGGAATGTGTCAGCAGGCTTGGGGATGGTTTGGGCATGGGGTGGAGAGGCTTAAAGGTGAGCGTGAGATGGAAAATGCGTTGTCAGTAAAGCAAACTTATCTAAAGCAGGAGCTCCCTGACCCAATGTGCTGTGAGCCTGGCCAGCTTGTCGCTGTCCCTTGCATCTTTCTCAGGGGAGGGAACCTTTTTTCTGCTAAGGGCCATGTGGATATTTATAACATCATTCGTGGGCCATACAAAGTTATCAACTTAAAGATTAGCCCGCTCTATTTGGTCAAACATTTAATTAACTCACCCCTAATGCCTTGGCAGGGCCAGACCAAATGATTTCTTGGGCCTTTATGTGGCCTGTGGGCCAGACGCTCCCCACCCGTTTCAAGTGATGGGAGCACAATGGGGGCGGTGGATGGGGAGACGTGGTTCAAGTCCAAGCTCCTACCTTACTTTGCTCTGTGGCCTTAGACAAGTCACTTCCCTTCTCTGGGCTTCGGTTTCCTCCCAGAGAGAGAAGGGCAAGGGCTGGGTTAGGTAACTACTAAGATCCCCTGGAAACAGTTTGGCATAGCAATCAAGAGCGTGGGCTCTCACATCAAGCCAAAGGGGTTCATGTCCCAGGTTTGCCACTTGCTTGCCACGGGATCTTGAGTAAGTTACAATCCTCAGGTCCCTCCCCTGTAAAATGGGGCAATAATGGGGTTATTGGGAGGACTACCGGACACAACGCTTGGAAAGCATTTGGCACTGCAGCCTGGCCCACAGTAAGGACTGGATAAAGAGCAGTTATTGTTATTACTTCTTCGGGAACTAATGTATCAGGCATCCCGGGTTCTATCTCAGCCTGGCTCCTCCCAGATGGAGCCTGAATGTGGGGTTGGAGCCACCTCTCTGAAGTGCCTTGGCCAGGCGGTGGGGCAACTCACATCACTCTGCAGCTGGTGGGCCCTCTGTGCGTGCTTCAGGCCCAGCTGCTCCGGGTCGCAGGTGGGCTGGGGCAAGGGCTGCCTGTAGTACACGTCGCTGGCCAGCTGCTGGCTCCGCTTGGCCTGGAGGAAGCCGGGCTGGTCTGGGCGGCTGTGGAACCGGGACCGATTCTTAGCAAAGTCCTTCTTGTACTCATTGTCACTCTGGAGCTTGCCGACGCTGAGGAAATGCCTCATCCTTGGGTCGTCGTTGATGCTGCGGTACCCAATCTGCAGGCCCCGGTCCCGCAGGAAGGCCTCTTTGTACCGAAACTGCAGGTCAGAAGAGCAGAGATGGGTCATGGGTACCCACCTCTCCCCACGGATTCTCAGAAGGAATTCTACAGTGGGTCAAGGGCACAGCTTTGGATTCAAGTAGACTTACCATCTGTACGGCCCTCTGCTACCTTCTAGCTGTGTGGCCTTGGGCCAGTTACTGAGTCTCTTTGAGCCTCAGTTTCCCCATCTGATAAAAATGGGAGAATGGCCCTAGCTGGTTTTGCTCAGTGGATAGAGCGTTGGCCTGCAGACTGAAGGGTCCTAGGTTTGATTTCAGTCGAGGGCACATGCCCGGGTTGTGGGCTCGATCCCCAGTAGGAGGCATGCCAGAGGCAACCAATCAAGGATTCTCTCTCATCATTGATGTTTCTATCTCTCTCTCCCTCTCCTTTCCTCTCTTAATGCAATAAAAATATTTAACATAAAATGGGCGAATGAACTTCTACCCTATGGGACATGGAGAAGATCCCATGACATGGAGGGTTAGCTTCATGTCTGGCACTGAGTGGTGGCTACGAGTATTATTGCTGCTGTAATTCACAATCCAATGGAAGAGAAATGTACCCATTCTCTCAGCAGCCACTCTTCCTCTGATTCTTTCCATCTTTCAGGGATCCAGTCCAGTGCTCCTCAAACTCTCTGTATAAAGGACCACATTCATTTCAATTTGCTTTTTCAATATGCAATTCATCAAATATATGGTCCGACTGCACGCAATTAGTGCACAGTGGTACCACGTGGATTTAAAAACGCTCAAACTGGCCTCCCCACTGCTCAACAAGATGAGTCCACAGCTCACATGCCTGGATGTCACATATCTAATTGTTAAACATCTTTCTAAATGCTTGCTCTTGGTTTCTGTATGTATCTCATTGTGGACCAGTACCAAGCCGTCCATAGATGATGCATATCTAACCACGATGCTTCCTCTTCCATTGTAACAGCTGCCATGTTTGGACACCTGCTATGGGCATGACGCGCTAAACCATTCTGTTTTCATTCCTACATCCATCCTAGTAGACAAGTGTTAGACACCTATTTCATAAATGTAAAAATTTGAGTTCAGAGAATTTAAGCAACTCGCCCAAGACCTTAGAGCAGCGGTTCTCAACCTGTGGGTCACGACCCCTTTGGGGGTCGAACGACCCTTTCACAGGGGTCGCCTAAGACCATCGGAAAACACATATATAATTACATATTGTTTTTGTGATTAATCACTATGCTTTAATTATGTTCAACTTGTAACAATGAAAATACATCCTGCATATCAGATATTTACATTATGATTCATAACAGTAGCAAAATTACCGCTATGAAGTAGCAACGAAAATACTTTTATGGCTGGGGGTCACCACACCATGAGGAACTGTATCAAAGGGTCTCGGCATTAGGAAGGTTGAGAACCACTGCCTTAGAGCCAATTCCTAAATGACTGAGCCAGGATCTTAAGTCAATGAAGGGGGAAAACCAATCTCTTCCAACCCCATCACACTGCACTTCAGCTGAAAGAAGTCCCTTTACTGCAGCTCAACAAATCAATCACGTGTTAATGGACTTCTCAAAAGTAAAGCCTATTTCTTCCTCGCATGTGAACTACTTGTTCAGTTTCGGTTCCTGGTGGTTTGCCTGTCAACAGGCCTGGGAAAACCAGAGTAAGACCTATCAGTCACAGAGGCGAGAGAGAACGCAAGGCCTTACGTCACTGGCGATCTCCCTGGACGCCCGGGCAGTCTGGAACGGGATGGCGTCCAGCCTGAAGTCGTAGCCGCCAGCCCGAGTCTGCTCCCAGGAGTTTCTGTAGACTTTCTAGACAAGGAGAACAGAGAAGTGAGTGAGCAGGTGTCACTCCCTGTCTGCCATGTGGTTGGTTCTCAGCAGGGCAGTTTCTAAGCACAAACCCTCGCCTTGATGGTGCCCAGAATGGCAGAGCCCATGGCCCCAAGCCCATCCGGGACCTCCTCTGCTCTGGGATTGCTGGAACTGGCCACCAAGGGCTCCAGCTCTAAGTTCAACCTGAGTGCCAGGTGCTGCTCTTGTGGGTCTTATGGTCTGTGGGTCTGGCCCACTGGCCACACTCCGTTGGTATCAGAGGCCCCCGCCCCCTCCCTCCCATGTCTGCATTCACATTCAGGGACCCAGGTTTGCAGCTTCTAGATGCCGGAACTCAAAGCTCAAGAGCTCTGTTTCTTCCCACAGCAGGAGGTGCTGCTCCTCGGGTCCTGGTCCCCATGTTCATTAGCTCCACTGACTTCCCAGGGGCCCTCGGCTACTTCTGATGTCATGTCACCCCATTATGCTGCATCCCCTGTGCTCCCTTGGTGGCTGCACTGAGCGAGGGAAGAGCCTTCACCTGAATTAAATTGATTGTCAAGAGCCTGACTGAGTCCCTGACCTGTGGATCTCACATCTTCCTCTTTCATTTTCCTCCTTTTCAAGTCGTTCTCACACCCCCTCCAGGAGCCTGGAATCACAGCCCCTGGGTCCCCAGGTAGACCCGCATCACGGACAGAGGCATCACCATCTCTCGTGCCTTCATGTAGCAGATGTATAAGGCAACAGCTCCGTGAAAGGAGTCATCTGGAGATGCCCGTGGAGGATCTGTCCTTTATTCAGCCACAGGGAAGGGAGACAGCGGGAGAGGCTCATCACCAGCATTTGACAAAGTGACAGCCCCAGAGCGGGCCGG